AATAAACTGAAAAGTTACATTAATGAATTATGATGAAAAAAAATATACCTCGTATTATTTAGTGTCATAGTTTTTTATTTGATCAGTAGCTTTAGCTGCTGTGTTTGTTTGTATTTGACTATTTTGGTTGCAATTATTCTGGTTTTGTTTTTTATATTTATGTGATTGATACTTTCGATCTTTTGTGAAACACGATCTGAAAGGAGTGTTGAAGTGTTTAGGGGCAGAAATTTGCACCCCCATCCCCCCACAGGCCGTGACAGAGAACCTCCGAACCCATCACAGACCGTGACAGAGAACCCCAAAGACCATCACAGACCGTGACAGAGAACCTTAGAGACCACCACAGACCGTGACAGAGAACCTCCGGACCCATCACAGACCGTGGCAGAGGATCGCAGAGACCATCACAGACCGTGACAGAGAACCTTCGAACGCATCACAGACCGTGATAGAGAACCTTCGGACCCATCGCAGACCGTGACAGAAAACCTCAGAGACCATCACAGACCGTGACAGAGAATCTCCGGACCCGTCACAGACCGTGACAGAGAACCTTCGGACCCATCACAGTCCGTGACAGAGAACCTCAAAGGCCATCACCGACCGTGACAGAGAACCCCAAAGGCCACCACAGACCGTGACAGAGAACCCCAGAGACCATCACAGACCGTGACAGAGAGCCTCCGGACCCATCACAAACCGTGACAGAGAACCTCAAAGGCAGTCACAGACCGTGACAGACAAGCTCCAGGGGTCATCATAGACTGTGAAAGAAGAGTTCAAGGAAGTATCACAGATAATGCATAACTAACACATGATTGGAGCATATATTGGGCATTACCCTGTTTCAGCTCTATAATGTAAAGTAAGCTACGATGAAGAAATGTACACCAATATGCATAAAAAAGAACAATTTTTATAAGATTGGCAACAGCAGGTACATCGTGTTTCACATTTTTAATCCCGCAAGGGATTGCGCTAACAGCTTTTTAGGTAGAATTTCTTATTCTATTGTTCGAAAATAGTTAACCTGTGACTGGAAAGAGAAACATCATAGATGTAGTGTTTGAGATAATGATAGAAGAATACGGATTAAAAGAAAGATAGTTTCTTGAGTAAGCTGGAAAGATTTGCGAGAATCACACAGACAGTGTTGAACTAAATGATATGTAATTAACTGTTTTAATTTAATTAAATAGGTTCAATACAAATAAGGTACAATGCTTCGTATTCCAGTTATAATTCATAATACAAATGAAAGATTCCTCATTCCATGCGAGACCGGTAAAGAAAATGTTAAATGGCTATGCCAAACTGCTTACACAAGGTAAATATAGATAGAAAAAAAATCTGAGATATAATATGATTTGTATCTTCGATAAATCACTACCAGGTATATAGAAAAGTTTCCCGATGCATCTATGCCCCAGCATTTCATGCCTCGACGTGTTTTTGATGGAAGCCTTTTGTCGCTCAACGACTGTGTTGGACAAGTGCTGAAGGACAATGAATTGATTCAGATTGGTGAGTTGTGCACATTATTTGATTGCAATATAGTTAAATGAAAATTCTATGATAGATAACATGAATAATCTTGATGACAGCCAATACTTAAGCATCATCATGTAAGTTTTCTTTCACAAAGAAACGATTATTCATTTATTAATTTCATTTGTTCATTTTATCTATTGTTATCCGATAGAGACGAGGAGCATAAGGTAAGCTTTAATTACAGTGAATTGAACGTAACAATAAAACTTCACATATGTAGCTCATGACACTCGATGGTTGTAACATGAAGCCTGGTGATCTTATTTGTCTTGGTTCTGGTCAATATCGGATTGAGGTAATGATAAAAGAGAAACTCTATTCTAACTTATTTTAAATCTATTTATTTCATAGCTATCACCAGAAACATGGGATTTAATTCGACGAGGACGAGAGATTATCGAAGACATTATATGTCAGAAAAAAGGTATGTTTTTCTCGTCAAAATAAATGTTATTATCTTTGTTTGTCATATAGTTGTCTATGGAATCAATACTGGCTTTGGTTCATTTGCCGAAACAGTCATTCCCGATCATCAGCTTTAGTGAGTCTTTCTTTAACGTCTGCTATAAGAGATAGAATTTCCAACGAATCGAAAGTTCTAATTTAATCTTGGTGAATTACATTGAATTGTTTTTATTCATTTAATCTTATTAAGTTAGAAGTTAATACTAAAATGGAATAATTAATCCATCGTTTTTATAAGTTCCCGTTGTTTAGAAGGTCCTATCAGAACTTTGAGGATTATATCGGAATCGAATCACTCAGTAAACATTTCATTCTTTTTGGAATGCTAAATTTTTTATCTTTAAACCGACTACGTTAAAAACACTTACGTTTTGAAATTCCTTTGATGAATATGTGCTCATGTTCAGTTTTTTTAATATTTTCGATTTCATCAAAGCCTATCAAAATATGTTAAAGAAATAAAAAAATAAACGTACACTAAAGAAACAAAAATATTTCTAACGAGTATTTTTTTATTCCTGAGCAATAATTATATAAATCGGTTAACATTTGGTATTGATCAGATTTTATTCGACTTCATCAAGAATTCCGTTGTTCAAATCATGAGATTTATTTCTGAAAAAGTTTGATCAGATTTCTTTTAGTAGATTTAAACTGAAGTGAAATTACGCGTCTAGATAAATCGAGCTTTTGTCTATTTAATACATTCTTGTTTATATATTGTTATGTTTCAGTGAACTCCAATCTCGTTTAATTCTTTCGCATTGCGCTGGTGTGGGTAAGCCGCTCGAAATCGAACGAGCCCGAATGATTTTCGCCCTACGCATCAACGTTCTTAGTAAAGGTTTTTCGGGAATTTCTGAAGAAACTCTACGCAAAGTTATTGCAATATTCAACAGTAAGTCATATACACACAGATATATACATGATCAATTATATATGCGATCTTAGAATCATGCGTTCCTGAAATTCCATGTCAAGGCTCAGTAGGAGCATCTGGTGATCTTTCACCCTTAGCTCATTTAAGTGCAGGTATGTAGAAATGTTTTCTGACGTATCATTCATAGATAATGATTTGTATTTGTTATAGCTTTAATGGGTACTGGACGAATGTGGTCACCGAAGACCGACTGGGGAGATGCAAAGGATGTTCTGGATCAGAACGGATTGGAATCGATTGTTTACAAACCAAAAGAAGTAAGAACAGACACCTGATAGATTAAATAGGAAAACATGTTTTGTATTCCGTATTATCCCTTATAATTGCATTAAAAATGTCCTGTTCTAATAGTCGCTAAATGCCAACGATAATTTTTTTGAATGTTTGTGGGTAAGTCCATGTTTATCTAACCATTTTTTTGGGAAAAGTGTCTTTTTATTGAACTTTTTATGCTGGTTAGGCTGAAAGTGGACGAAAAATAGGTTTGGCTGGAAAATTTTTGTGACTTTTATCTAAAGTACTGGTGATACAGATTGTTGCTTAGGAACATCTAAGGAGGGAGAGCATCTCCCAGCTTGTCACAATATTCAATGCTCATATTTTGGCCAAAGATCGAAGGTTACTAGGCTAGCACAAACTCCTAAAGATACTTCTTTTCAATGTATTGTGGCCGAGATATGAGATTTTTAAGGAGTACGATTTCTGCATAATTTTGGTTAGAATTCATTTTTCATAGGAAATATGTATATATCGCTGTTGCTAAAAATCTCATATTTCGGTTACAATACATTGAAAACAAGTATTCTTTGGAGTTTGTGCTAGTCTAGTAACTTTCGATCTTTGGCCAAAATATGTGCTTTGAACATTGTAATAATCTGGAAGATGCTCTCCCTCCTTAGACGTTCCTAAGCAACGATCAGTATCATCAGTATTTCAGATAAATGTTACCAGATTTTTCCAGCGAAATCTATTTTTCGTCCACTTTCGGCCTAACCAGCATAAAAAATTCAATAAAAAAACATTTTTCCCAAAAAATAGTTGGATACCTATGGATTTACCCTTTTATGATCCGATAGTCATGCAAGTGCTTAAACAACGAATACGTTGTATTTTCACCTTTGACGAAATGTTTTTCGGAAAGAATCTCAGAAAAAAAATTGATAGCTTTCCTAAGGAACGATGAATCAAAATTTGTGGAAATAATATATTCTAACTAATTCGTTTCGCGAACCTTCGATATTTACTAAAACACTCTACTATTCTCTGCAGGGTTTAGCTATGGTCAATGGAACACAATTCATTACTGCTCTGGGAGCAGAAGGTGAGACAAAAGAAATTCAATGATTTATTTTAAATCTGATTCTTTTTCTAGCTGTTGAACGAGCAATCTCGTTGGCACGCCAAGCAGACGTTATTGCAGCACTGAGTACCGAAGGATTACGTGGCAATGTTCGTGCATTCCATCCAAGTAAATATCTTTACTTGAAGACTCTGCAAAAATATTTTTATTAATAATTAAGGCATTCATGCATCACGACCCTACACGGGTCAGAATTTGGTGGCACAACGATTGCGTTCACTACTTGACTCCAAACTTTATCCATCAAAAATTTATGATAGTCATGCCCAGTGTGGCAAGATGCAAGATGCCTATTCTATTCGATGTATCCCACAGGTTAAGCTTTCTAATAAATTCTTTTTATATGCCCACGTAATTATTTATGTCTATGTAGGTTCATGGCATTTCTTGGGACACAATTATGTTTGTTCAAAAATTGATTACAGTGGAGATGAATAGTGCTACTGATAATCCGCTCGTCTTGGTAGATCTAAAAGAAACTATCTCGGGTGGCAATTTTCATGGAGAATATCCTGCCAAAGTGTGTTACATTAATCTTCTTTTTTCAATCTTTGACCTTTTCTCGTTTTCAAGGCTCTAGATTACTTGGCGATTGGAGTCCACGAACTTGGCAGTATGAGCGAATGTCGTATGACTCTATTTATCACAGAAAAAATGAGTCAATTACCTGCCTTTCTTACTCCCAATGGTGGTCTTAATTCTGGTTTTATGATTCCTCAATATACAGCAGCTGCTTTGGGTAATATACAGAGAATTATTTTTGTTAACATTAGAAATGTCTAAAGTCATTAGTGGCGTAATTTCACTAACTTTTAGTCTTGGTCTTCAATCGATGAATTTGTAAAAAAAATGAGCGCCTGCCAAAAAAAGCTTTCAGTGCAATCCCTGCGGAATTAAAATGTGAAACACGATCGAGCTGCTCACTTACATTGTAAATGAGAGCATACTATGGTATCTGTGACATTTCCATAGTAATGTCTGTCACAGTTTGTGACGTAGCCATGGTAAAGCCGGTCGCGGTCTGTGATGGTCTGTCAAGGCTTCCGTCACGGTCTGTGACGCTCTACAATAGTCTTTGACCTCCATCGGCCACAGTCTGTGGGGAGCGGAGGGAAGGGGGGGGGGGTCCAAAATTTTCACCCCTATACTTCAACACTCTCTTTTAGATCGTGTTTAACAAAAACCTCTAAGTCTTACAATTTAAGCGACAATTATGTATGATAAATAAATTGAAACTGTCATATAAGAACATACAAGTAGAGTCAAGTTGCGTAAATTTGAAAATAGAATTTTTGTAATAAGACTTGGTCGAAAGATTGCATCTTTTACATTTGGTTTCAATGATAACCTGTCTATGTTTAATTAGAATATCTATTTATATTTATATTTAGTATCGGAAAATAAAGGTCTATGTCATCCGTCGTCGGTCGATACCATTGCAACCAGTGCTGGACAAGAAGATCACGTCTCAATGGGTGCTTGGTCAGCTCGAAAAGCTCTCATGGTGATCGACAATGTTGAAAAAAGTAATTTTAACTTTATTCTATGCTCTAACTTGAATATGACTACATATTAAATTTAGTTTTGGCCATTGAACTTCTCATGGCCTGTCAAGCTATCGATTTACAACGTCCAAATACAACAACTCCTCCGTTGGAAGCCATTCATAAACTGGTTCGACAAACCATTGAGTACGTATACACACACACACACACACACACACACATATAGTTCAATTTTTTTCTATCTTTTATGGTGAAAACAATATTTGATTTTTATAGCAAATGGGACGAAGATCGATTCATGGCACCAACTATCGAGGCAGCAATCCGCATCATAAGATCAGGCGATGTAAGCACAGATTGGTGAATTACAATTACTATTCTATCTTATCTATCTGTTTCAGCTGTGGACAATTGTTGAACCTTACATCCAAAAATATCACGAGTGGTATCAAAATCAGCAGAACTAAACATTAAATGACGAATAGTCTATGACTATATTATTATTCTTTCATTTAAAGTGTTATGTATATACAAGAAAAATAAATTGAAACTTGTTAATCTTGAAAGAGTCATGCACTTGTGTTCTTTGCTTTTTATGCATAGTTGTACCCCATTAATATTGATAGGTTGATTGTTGTAAACTAGGTGAAACGATTGATCGGCACTCATTTAAAATACAGTCAAGTTAAAAATGATCTCACTTTGGAAGATAAATATAAAACGAAAAGTAGTTCTAATGAAACTTGCTAAAGTAAAATGAGACGTTTCTTCAATAATATGAGAATAGCTTGAATAGGTCATCACAATGAAATAAAAGTCTTTCTTATAGATCACTTGTCATGTAATAAAAAATGTTTTGTATTGAAAAATGATATAACTTATTATTTAAATGCATTATCTTAGAAGCGAATTCATTTCAAATACTGAAAAAATGTGATTTTTAAATGTTCAAAACACGATGATTGCGTTTTATGTACTTACAATAAAACTGTGTGGATGTAACTTTAGATTCGAACTTTTTCTGCTCTTTTTCCCTTACAAACATTTCGTCTTTCTAGCAGTTCTATCTTCGCTAAACGATAAGTTCTACTTCCATACATCTTAATTTAAGAATAAATTGTATCCTTTCATAGTTATTTTGTAACTGCATATACTTTATAGAATTTTCTCTAAAATAATTTTAGTTATGTATAATATTTGCATTCGTTTTTCGCACGGTGTTTTTTGTCATAGTCTAAAAAATAAGCATAATCTTCGAAGTAATATTTTATTTACAGTAATCCCTTTCTATGTGATCAGTGCTGAAACACTCTTCAGTCTCCCGAGCAAATTTTGATGATTTTCAAATTCTTCTGCACGATCATCACTTGTCTTTGAATGTGAACGCATTTTTCTGGTTTTGACTGCATATAGTGAGCTTTTTTTTTAGAGTCAAAGTCTTTATTTATTAACTAAGATGTTACATACGGAATAAAAAATAAAAATAAAAATTTTACAAAAGGCTGGTTGAAGAGCGGAGAGACGCGTGACAAATGTCTTATGTCTTGGAAGGTAATTCATTATATTTGTATATGTGATTAATGATTTGACGATGTGTTGTTAAGGTTTGTGGTGTAAATCTTCGATATTGGTGTTTTATGTATAATCATTGTTTGTAGTTGTTGTTTGGTTAGTATATTGAAGTGAAAAAGGAAAGAAAAAGAGATAGCTGAATATAAGAAAATTAATAAGCAAATAGATTGACTGTGCTTGATATATAATATGAAAATGCACGAAAGAAAAAGAAATAGCTGAATATAAGAAAATGAATAAGCAAATAGATTGACTCTACTTGATATATAATATGAAAATGAACGAAAGAAAAAGAAACAGCTGAATACAAAAAATGAGTAAGCAAATAGATTGACTTAGCTTTATATATAATATGCAAATGAAGGAAAGAAAAAGAAATAGCAGAGTACAGGAAAATGAATAAGCAAATAGATTTGCTCGATTTGATATATAATATAGAAATGAAGGAAAGCGAAGGAAATGGCTGAATGTAAGAAATTTAATAAGCAAATTGATTGATTCATTTCTTGTTATATATGGAGCAAACTCGTAGTATGCGATTCTGATATAACAATTTTTGTACAGATTCGGTTGACTCAACAATTGTCCAGTTTCTCGAGGTTGACTTTATGATTAATAGGTAGGTGGTTTGTTTTTAAATTTGTTTTTGTATATCTAGAAGATGTTGTTTTAATGTATTATCATTATTTGAAGTTGCTGTTTGAATGGATCGTTCAAGTAATGTTACAGCGTAATCTTTAATTTTGGGGATGTTGCTAATTTTGTGTATATAATCGACTGATGTATATATAGGTAATCCTAGAGCTGCACGAATTGCTTTATTTTGCATTATTTGTAACCGCTCCCATGTTTTGTCATTTGCTGTAAGCAGAACTGGATAACCATATATAATGATCGTTCTTGCAATTGATTCGAAGATATTTAACATAATCTTGTCATTTGGTTCGTAGGCTGCTCTGCTTAGAAATCTAAGTAGAGAGATCTGACCAACAATTTTTGACTCGATATGTTGTATGTGAGGTCTCCAGTTTAAACTTTTGTCGATGATAACACCTAAGTATCTTGTTAAGTCCACTGGTTTGATGATTGTATCTTCTACTTTCACGCTTATTGGATTTTTATATTTTTTCCTTGGATGGACGGTGAAGTGTACTAATTCGGTCTTGGTTGGTTGTAATTTCAGTTTTCAAGATTTACACCAACTTCTGAATGTGTCTATAGATTGTTGTAATCTAAAGTTAAGGCTTGACATTGTGTTGGATGATGTCCATAAAGCGGTGTCATCGGCAAATAGACCATGTTCAGTATGGTTTGGTATTCCATTCATTGAATCAGCTGTAAATAATATGTATAATATTGGTGACAGAGGAGAACCTTATGGAGTACCGCTATTTAAGTTGAATGGCTTTGATAAGATGTTTTCTATTTCAATTTGAGCGGTCCGATTTTGCAAGAATGAGATGAAATAGTTCAATAAGTATTGTGGAAGATGTAAATCATTTAATTTATAGATTAATCCATCATGCCAGACAGAGTCGAAGACAGCTTTTATATCAAATAGAATAACGGCTGCATGACGTCGACGACCATTTCGATGTAGATGATCTTGTGCAAATCTTGTTAGTCTTATGATGTTGTTTAATGTGCTTTTGCGGGGTCGAAAGCCAGCTTGATGTTCCGGTAAGATGTTGCGTCGCTCCAATATAATCATTAGCCGTTGTTTGATTATTTTCTCCAATAGTTTGCCGAGGCAGTTAAGAAGACTAATCGGACGATAACTAGCAGGATGTTGTTTGTCTTTATTGGGCTTTAACAGTAGTATAATATTCGCCTTTTTCCATCCACGTGGAATATATCCCATATTTAATATCGAGTTGAATAATTTAGTTAGATGTTGAATAAGTGAATCTGTGCACTTCTTCAAACATCTGTTGTGAATGTTATCAGGACCAGTGGAGCTATTTCGAAGTTGTTTGATGTTCCATTTGACTTCTTTTGTTGTATTCTTCTTCCATTTGTTTAGTTTCGTGTTAGAAGATCCGTATTTGATGTTGGATGTTTGCCTTGTGACTTGCTGATGGAATGGTAGTGTATCGGGTGGTTTGACATAGACTTCATTTTGAAAATATTCAGCCAATAGGTCGGCTTTTTCCTTGTCTGATGTTGCTATTACGTTGTTGTATTTGATGTTGTTTGAGTATGTTTGCTTGATTCGCTTGTTGTGAAACTTGCGAATTGTAAGCCATACTGAATCTGAATACATTTTCTTTTGACATAGTGACGACATAAGTTTGTTAAAATTGTCTCTTCTGTCATTTCTAAGTGAATTTTTTAGCAGCATCTTGTATTTATAATATTGTTGTTTTTCATTTTCTTCTCCAGTCTTCTTCCATTTTCGATAAGTGTTATGTTTATGCTAGATTAGATGTTTTGTTGCTTCACTTAGGTTAATATTTGTATTCATTTGTTTCGATGTTGGTATGGCTTCTTGTGTTGCTGAAATAATGCTGTTGGTAATGAACGATGTATATTCTTCTATATCTAATGCTGAATTGATGCAACGATTTATGTTCCATAGCATTAGCTATTCATTTAATTTACTTCTAAATTTAGTCCAATTTGCTGCTTTGAAATTAAGGGATAATCTTGGAGATATTGGTTTAGGTTCGGCTCCAATTGGAACATCGAAGGTTAGTGGTTTATGACCACTTAATGCACCAAGTGTTGGATGAGTTTCGACGTTTGATATTAAAGATAGAAGCGGTTGACTGGCTAATATGCAGTCTAACTTTTCTTCATAATCCTTCTTTTCAAATGTCGTACTATCATCATCGATACAATTTATATAACCTTCATTGATTATCTCTTGCAGCTGTTTTCCTCTTGCATTAGTTCTTCTTGAGCCCATATGATGTAATGTTGCATTCAGATCGTCTACTATGATGCAGTTGTTGTTTAAATTATAAAGTTCTCGAAAGACATTAATGTTAATTTTTGCTGTTGGTGGTACATAAATCGACGAAACTAAAATGGAATTTAATGAGTGTGTAGTAATTTGGGTGGCTATAATTTCATTTTTTTCAACAGTTTTATTAAGTATTTCTCGACATTTAATATGTTGTTTTACTGCTCATAATACTCCACCACCAGGTTTTCCTACTCGATCATTTCTGAAAATGTTATAACCCATTAAAGAGAACGAACGTTCACTTTTTAGATTAGTTTCATTCACAGAGATGATGTCGTATTTGGAGAATCTGGCTAGGAGTTCATCTTTATGTTTTATAATAGAGTTGATGTTAATGTGACATATACTAATCATCGTTGTTACTAGTTTTCAGGTCTTTGTTATCAAATGTCGATGCATCTAAAGAGCTGTTGGGAGAACGAACTCTCTTGGTTGACTTTGTTGCTTTTTGTTTTCGTTGTTGTTTCGATGTGGCTACGTTCGTGGTTGTTGTCGATTTGGTTGAAATATCCATTGATGATGTAGTTGATTTGCCTGTTTCAGCATTTTGTTTTTGCTTGTTCTTGATGTACTTAACTACTTGACCTTCTTCATTTGAATCAGAATCAGAGACAGTTAAGGCATCTTCATGGTTGTTGTTGTATATTCTGATCGATTTTTCGATTTTCTCGATCTTCTGTTGCAGCGTCTGCAATAACCGACTGGTTGTTTCTTCAATAATTTTTTCCATTTTACTGCTTAATACATTGATAATTTCGTCGAATAATTCATTATGTAGATGATCTTGTTGACGTTGGAAGATGTTTGGTAGTGGTAGAAATTCATTTGCATCGTGTGTGGCTGGTGCTGTTGTTGGTGGTGTATTTGTGCATGAATATTGATTAATTAAATTCTGCATCCGTTTCTCTTGTTCTGTATAAGTTGCACATTCGTTTAATGTTGCTAAATGATTACCTTTACAATTGCAGCATTTTAATGCATCACTAGCAGCAGTACATTGATCGATACGATGATTTTCACCACATTGAGCACATATCTGTTGTTTTGTTTTGCAGTATTTGGCTACGTGATTGTATTTAAGGCATAAGTAACATTGCACCGGCTTAGTATTTTGATTTGCTGGTTCAGCAATAAAATGCATTGAGTCCACTTGTAGACCAGTATGTACGAAGATGTTACGATTTTGTGGATCCATAAATGTAATTTTGATTGTTTTGGTTGGCATTTTTTTAGTTTTATTCATTAGTCGAACAACATCAATAGCATCAAGGCCAACATCCTTCAATGCTTCAGTCATTCGACTTTCAGGAATTTCCATGTCGACATTTTTAACGAACGCGACTTTTTCCGTATCTTTGATACGTTGAATAGATCGGGGGTACATATATTTTTGCTGTAGCCTGACCATTTGTTGCAAGAATTAGTGTCAGCTCATTTAATAGACGATTAAATGAACTGACATTGGTTGCATATATTGTGAAAATTCCTGTGCGACTTAGCTGAATATCAGAAATTCGTAAATCTTTTAAGTGCTGCTTGATGGTACCATTTAATTGCAGCTTGTTTAGCTTTACGCCCTCTAGAATTAGAGGAGCGATGCTAAAATTGGTTGCTTCTTCAGGTCTGCCTTTGTTCCTGAAGAAGTCTTTGTTCCTGCAGAAGCCTTTGTTCTTGGGCTATGACTCATCGCCATTGTTCCTCCAACATCAGCTACTGCTGTTTGACCTTGTTGTGCACTAGTAAAATTAATGTTATTTTGTAATTGTTTGTGTGCACCTGTTCCTCCTTTTTTTGGAGGCATAATTAAGATAACACCTGAAGTAATAACACCTGGAGATAATTACCTTAATTACTAATTTAAGGAATAACTTGAAAATTTAATGATATAATGAAATAATAACGATAATAAAATCAACGAGTTGAACAAAGAAAATGTACGTAACCGACAGGATAGAATGCGACTTATCTCGACTGTGTAAAAATGACGAATGATATAGTGAACTTGCCAGTGTAAATATTAATATACGGCATCACTTGAATAAACCAGGTAATTATCATAAATTTGATTTGTTCTAAGATTTAATACATTGAAAACAAAAAAAGAAATCGAAGAAAACAGATGGACATAAAGGTGTCGTTATCTTTTTGATAGACGCTCTAGATTTATCTATCAGTTACGACGATATCTCGCACCAAATTAATTTATTTAAAGGAATGCAGCATGCTTTTCCTCTTCTTAGATTAAAAAATAAAGGATTCAGCCGAATTTGGTGACTCATCTCGAATCAGAATATCATATAGACGGTTCTGTAGAGCAACCTGCATCACATTGAATGGTATATAAGAAATCAAGTTTTTCCTCAAATGTTGATGTGCCTAAACTATCTTAAGAGGCAATCTAGCAATCTGACAATAAGTCCCTACTGTTTAACTGTGAAACATATAGAGCTCGATAATGTACAGTCTTGAAAATGTTTCACATTGATGTCCACTTCTTCTATGGCACAAGCTTGAACATATTGGAACGCCATATAGGCAAACAATAGCGTAGGCGTATAGAAAATGGTCATTTTTTAAGTATAAAGAAAGCAACAATGAAAACTATTGAATATAAAAATTTGAAGAGCATCGAGAACTGTATCGAACTGACGAGGGAAGTACCCGAAGTGATTCACCGCTTTTGAGCTCATATTTTGGGTGTATAGAGGGAACCTTTAGACTAGAATAATTCTAAAAGGATTCGGGCCCATAGGTCTTCTCTACAGAGTTATAGCCATTTTACTTGAGTTTTAGCCTATGGCACGGTATGTACAAACAAATCGGCTGACAGTATTTCGATTTAAAGTTTTGTCCACAGATAGGTCTACTTGTAATTAGAATGCCTTGAAAATTTCAACTCAAAAGAATGTTTCTTTCGCAAGATATTGAATGTCGATAAAACATGAGATTCTCGCATCTTTTATGGGATCCGAGTGATTTTTGAAAATTCAATATCTTGCGAAAGAAACATTCTTTTGAGTTGAAATTTTCAAGGCATTCTAATTACAAGTAGACCTATCTGTGGACAAAGCTTTAAATCGAAATGCCGTCAGTCGATTTGTTTGTACATACCGTGCCATAGGCTAAAACTCGAGTAAAATGGCTATAACTCTGTAGAGAAGACCTATGGGCCCGGATCTTTTTAGGATTATTCTACTCTAGAGGTCTCCTCTATACACCCAAAATATGAGCTCAAAAGCGGTGAATCACTTCGGGTACCTCCTCGTCAGTCATTTATACCGGGTGGGCCAAAAGTAAGGAAACAAAAAGGGTATGCTATAATAAAGGATAATAAATTGTTAATGATATTTTTCATACCTTATATTGATGTAGAGAGCTAAAATTTTTATCACATATATATCTAGTTAAGATCTTTTATGTCTGAAAGTTTCAGCTTTCCACATCAATAAAAAGTGTAAAAAAGATCATTAACAATCTATTATCCATTATTATAGCATACCATTTTTGTTTCCTTACTTTTGGCCCACCCGGTATATATATATATAGTATAGTCACAAAACAAAACGGTGAATGAGTAGTGAACACATGGACACTATCTTTGAACTTTATATAAATGATCATCATGCTTCACGTGAGTTATTTATATATATAGTCCAGCCGCAAAACAAAACAGTGAATGAGTGGTAAGCACATTGACTATCCGTAATATTTAAAGGCCATCTCAGATGGCTATGGATAACTTCTTCAGAGCTATCTCGAGGCACCATCCATAACTTTTTAAAGACTATCTTGGGACACTATCTATAAGTTTTCAAAGGCTATCTCGGGACAGTATCTATAATTTTTTGAGGCTATCTCGGGACGCTATCTATATTTTTCTGAGGACTATCTCGGGACACTATCTATAATTTTCTGAGGGCTATCTCGGGATACCGTTTATAACTTTTTAAGAGCTATCTCATGGTACTATCTGTAATTCTTTGAGGAGTATCTCGGAACACTCGTTGTAACTTTTTAGGGACTACCTCGGAGCAATGTCTGGAACTCTTCAGAGGTTATCACAAGATACCATCTATAACGTTTTAATGGCTATCTCGAGATAATATATATAACTTATTTAAGGCTATCTCGGGGACTATCTGTAACTTTTTGGGAGCGTCTTGAATGTGCTATATGCACGTTTTTGAAATTTCTTTGTCTATTAGACAAGATATTCGTTCTACGCTGAATGCGGCATGTAAGAAAAGGAATCGCATAAATAGCAATAACAAACAGTATTGGTGGCATTGGTGTTCATATTCACTTTATAGGGAGCCAGAATTTGTGATGGGCGGCTATTGTTATATAATTCAGTTGGAAAAGAAACCTATGAGTTCAATATTTTTGTTAAGAAGACACAGGTTTCCGATTAAGATTTTTCTGGAAGGTTTCACCAAAGACTCTCGCTGAACCGGAGGGCCCAAATATCTGAAAGACAGTTTGGTGAAAAGACTGGCTCACAAACTTCGACAAAACCGATCAGTCTTTTGTGTTTCTTCACACTGAAACCCTTTGAGCAAAACAAAGAAGAAGGTCGTTATTTTCAAAAAGTTTTTCTCGTTAACGAAAACTTAAAACTCGCAATTTTTTCAGTATAGTGGTTAATGTAGCGTAACCGGCCTCTTTTAATTTTGATCTGATGTTGAATTAATACTGATGCTACCAATACTCTATTGATATTATTGCATTCCTGCTCTCGATACCACATCTGTTATTTTTGCGATATGGTAAATAAACTTCACCTTTTACCTGTCTTTATTCTGATTTTGTCGCATTTTAATTTTTTTCACTTTAGTTTCTTGCAAAGAAATGTGCGTGTCAGTTTGTTGCTGATCCTTTTGTCACTGTTTTGACTTCTGAGAAAAAGCCCTAATATTGTTGTTTTCCATTAGTGAAACTATAGGCATCTCCAAATAGGTTCAGCGCTGAAGCTACTGCTGAACCATTCATGATTAGAGAAAAAAATTAAAAGCTAATAATAGTATATACAACTATACATGGTTTTGTACTGACCATACAGAACTTAATAACACTTAACGCGACTATGCTAGGTTTTATAAGAAAAGCGAAAACCTTACAACAGTCTACGAACTATCAAAAGTTTCTTATAAAGCGTACGCAACTATTAAATATCTAATAGAGTGGCGAATAGTTCTGCACAGATAATATAGAACCATTGGATTCTCTGCCGAACAATTGGTAATTTTGCGGAAAAAAGACTGAACCTTTACTTTGACAATGAAACTAAAGAGCTCCGTTAACATATTAGGAAGCCTTCCAAGATTCTGCGAGCCTATCAGAATTTCAGTTTATTATATACGTAACCATGAACGGAATGATGGAATCTGCAGAAGGTTTCGTACTAAAATTGCGAAACTCTATGAATTCTGCTAAAGTTAAAAGAAGTTCCGTAGGAAAAGTACAAAACTTTTACAGTTCGGTAACAAATCTACTCTTATGGAGTATGGTTTCGCACAAAACACACAGAATCTATTAGCATTTAAAGTGATCATAGAAGATTTCACGCTAAACCTGCGAAACCTTTTAATAGTCTACGAAACTATGCACTATTTCGTATGAAAAATACGGAATCTCCAGATGTATTAGAAAAGTATCGAGGTAGGATGTTTGAAGGAAGGAAAGGCGTCAAGATGAAAACCGCTTCTTGAGGTCACCGAAGCAGTTTAAACTCATGTTTTCGTTTGGTTTTACTGGGAAAAGTCAAAAAAAATTTCGCGAAGAGCGCCGACAGTTTCATGGACTCTCTCCCTTGACCCGCCACTGATCTTTCAGTGCTGAAGCGTAAGTAAACTAAGTGTTTGGAATGTGGATCACGTGATGCTTGCACTGATTTTTTTTGTTATTTGGTTTAGCTTTATTGGCAACATATTTTCAGCTTAATTTTTTATATAACATGCATGTCGACCAACTTATAAGCTTGAAAATTGTACGGTGAAGATGTGAGAATAGAAAACATAAACGAAACACATTTTCGGCTTTCCACAATACATAATGGGTTTCCGACGTCTTTCCCCGAAAACTCAAAGGTTTTCGAGATATCCAGAAACTCTAAGAGGTTTCCGAGGCTTGTTCGGAAACCCTACAAGTCTGACAGAAAAACTTTCCATCCTTTTTGGTACTCGGAAACTCAAAAGGGTATCCGATGAAAACATATCAGAAACCCAAAGAGTTCCCGAGAGGGTTTTTTACTCAGAAGTGGTTCTCGAAAAAACCGAAGGGTTTTCGAAAATATTTAAATATTTCTGAGACTACAGTTTAGGGTTCCCGAAACGATTTTCCCGAAAACCTGTTGGTTTCCGGAGACTCGGAAAACCACAAGGTATTCTGAGGAACTCAGTATCAGTCCGGAAACCCTTTCGGATTCTTTTCTCGGTGTCCGGAACGGTTTTCGAGGTGCGTTCGGTTTGCGACAGAACGGTTGTTTTTTAGAGTGCACACCCACACCCACACCCACACCCACACCCACACCCACACCCACACCCCACACCCACACACCCACACCCACACCCAC